TTCTATTTGTAGGTTTTTGTATTTTGTTATCTTCTCCAGTTCTTTCTCGTCTATTCTGCTGTCTCCAGGCACTACCACGTCCACTATCCAGACTTTTTTGTCTTTCTTATCGACAATTGTTAAGTCTGGGGTGTTATGTTGCAGGTGCTTGTCTGTTTGAATTCTGAAGTCCCAGAGCAGTTTAATTTTATCATTTTCTATGACTTTCTCTATTTTATGATCCCACCAGTTTTTGCTTACAGGCAAATGATATTTTTTGCAGATCTTCCAATGCACCATTGTTGCTACTTTGTCATGCCGCTGCTTGTAGTCAGTCTGTGTGATCTTCTTGCAGCAGCTTACCAGGTGGTCCACTGTTTCTTCAGCTTCTTTGCATAGGCAGCACTTACTGTCTGTTGTTGTCTTCTCAATTTTGACTTTATATGCATTTGTCCTTAAGGCTTGGTCTTGTGTAGCCGGAATTAGTCCCTCAGTCTCTTTCTTCAATTTTCCTGCTCTTAGCCATTGCCAGGTCTTGTTATTATCTGCTTTCCCAGCTATTTTTTTAGCGTATTGGCCATGTAGTGCTTTGTCTTCCCATGCCTCTATTCTGTTCTTCATTTGGTCTTTCTTGTAGGCCAGTTTTGTCTCTCCAGTAGTCAGTAAGCCTTCCTGATATACTAATTTCAATGCATCTTCATCACTGTCCTTCAGATATTCTTCCAAAGCCATTTTTTCTTCTTCTTCAACCATCTGATGTACTTGCAGCATTCCACACCCACCTATTTGCCTTGGTAGATAAAGTCTGTCAATGTCACTGCGTGGATGAAGGGCATGACTCATTGTCATTATTTTTCTGGTCTTCCTATTCATTGCTTTTAGTTCTGCTTGAGTCCAGTCCACTATTCCAGCAGTGTATCTAATGACTGGAATTGCCCAGGTATTGATTGCCTTTATGGTATTTCCTCCATTGAGTTTGGACTTTAAGATCTTCTTCACTCTCTTGATGTATTCACCTCTAATCTTTTTCTTGACTTCAGGGTGCTTGATGTTGTCAGCTTGAAGGATACCCAAATATTTGTAGTAATCTTCCTCATCCAGACTCTTAATGTTATTTTCGTGGGGCATCTTTATTCCTTCAGTTTTCACTATTTTTCCTTGTTTGATAGTAAGTGTGGCACACTTGTCCAAGCCAAACTCCATTGCAATATCTGAGTAGGGGGTTGGACTAGATGACCTCCAAGGTCCCTTGCAACTTTATTATTATTATTATTATTATTATTATTATTATTATTATTATTATTATTGATACATAATAGAGACTGAGGCAGGGAGAGTGTCAGAATGCTGAGGGGTAGGTATGTGTGTGCATTTTACTTTTTATATAAAAATATTTTATGTTTTTGAAATATTTTTATACATGTGAAAGGAGAAAAAACTGAGGCTTTCAGAGACATCTGTTCCCCAGAGGTTTCCAGTGGTATGAATCACCTGATTCATAGTTGGAAGCTGTCAGAAACTGACACTGATATTTCCCATTTTGGAAGAAATCAGCTTTACTGGCTGTAGATTCTCGAGCGATAAAAAATAAGCCAACAAAACTGCTGTTGATCTCTGTTCATTTTCCACCAACTTTTTTCAAGTATTTTTTTATTAAGAATTACAAATAGAAGAAATAAAAACTGACACAAACTACAAAAATATAAGACTACAAAAGGATAATGGAAAAAAAAGGGGAACAATGTAAGAAAAAAAAGAAAAGGAAAAAAAAGCTTCCACATCCCAGCAAGTAAAAGCATTTTTAAATATTTTATAACCATCTCATCATATAATGTATACTCTCTTCACCTCATAACTCATCTCAACTAAAAAAAAAACAAATCCCAAAGTCTCATCATTTGTTCTTTATCAGCAAAAGTCCAGTAAGGGAAACTAGCTATAATTGTTTTTATTCTCTTTAACCTTGATCAAATAAGCCAACCCTGTATTCCATCCTTGAACTTTAAAAAATCTTAATTTTTAACCATCAAATATAGTCCAAGAGCTTGTTTTCTATTCATCTCTTTTTTGACCCAAGAATCTTTCAAAACTTTAACTAGACCTCTTTTATAAATCCAACACAAACTGTTCAGAGTCACTTGGGTTATCTCAATGATCTCTCTTTCCTCTAGAGATATTTTAATGGTCTGGATCCAGTCTCTAGCTGTGGTTTTCCTTGTAAACCAGCTTGTCAGCTTGCCATATAACACTCACTAGAAACTTCTCTCTATTTTCCACCAGTTCTTTGGACATCCAGATGCATCTGCAACTCACATGCTTTGGGGTCTACTTGGGACAATTTGCTAGCCTAGTGTCCCTGGAGAGAACACATCTCTGTATTATTCATCTCCAGCATCTAGCTCTCAGAGATATACTATCTCTGAACTGGGTATATCACACTTCATACAAGAAAAGATATTTATACTTCATACAAGAAAATATATTGAAAAGAAAAAAATGGTTTTGGAGTCCTAACATTAACTTAGTTTTGTTTTATATAATATGTGTGTGTGTGTGTGTGTGTGTGCGCGCGTGCATTTGTGTCTGTGTATAAGTGTGAATGTCTTCCTCCCTCTTTTACTATGGGGTCTTTCCTGCAAAACACATGGATATTTAGATGTTCAAGCTCTCTACAATGTATTAAAACACAGAACTATCGAAACCTATTTTAGCCTAGTCTAGTGTGTTATAGAAAAAAAAAAACCTAATTGTTTTTTGATTTATGTCAATGCCTACAAATTAGCACGTACCAATATTCGACTATCCTCCAGCCCTCTAATCCTCAGAAAGAAGATAGGAAGCTATAGAGCATTGTTCTTCCTCTAATGGAAATTTGAGTAGTGGAAAATTGGGAGAGTACCATTATATGTTGATACAAATATTATAAAATATACAGGACCCTATCTATTCTCTAAGAAGGTCAGTAATGCTTCTATTTACTTGTGGCACCCTCGCTCTGAATGACCATCACCCTGCTAGTGTTTAATGAAATCTTGTTTAGTTTTCAAACAACATCCCTCCCTTTTGCTTGCTGAGAAAACAGAAATCTTGTAAGTCTCATAAAGATTATTGGATCAGCATCCGTACCATGGGTAGCCACTTCCTGTGCGGTATCATCTATCGCTTACATTGACAACGGCAACTGTAGTCAAAAGGACAAAAAGAGAGAAATGCAAGTTTGTTAAATTCAGTTTACAATAAAGGTTGTTGTGGAAGTGAGGAAGGGTGAGGAGAGACTAATCACTTCTGAATACAATTTCTATTATGGCTGCCAGAAATTTGGACTGATTAAGCTGCTTTTTTAGGTTCCATTCAGGAGGAATCAACAGTATTTTAAAAGTCCTAAAACACACACACACACACACACACACACACACACACACACACACACACCATGGACAAGTCTTCCCTTCACTATTGCATCTCCATCCCTCCCTCTCTTGTTCTTTGTGCTATTCTTGGCATATTATGGGGTCCCCAGTTTTACATTTCGCCCACCACTTCGCCCGATCTACAATGCATCTTGAGTGTTGCTTCGAGTTGCGTGCACAGTGATGCGACGTTGAAAACTCTGCTGACTTGTTGTGCATGGGTTTGACACCTTCCCTCCTCTCTCATCCAGGCTTGGGACCAGCAATGGCAGGGTTACCCCCTCCCCCATACCATCTCCAAGTTTTTTAAAAACCTTTTTCAACCATAGACGTTGGAGTTTTCTCTTGTTGCTGACTCATGTTCCATTAAAAAGAAACTGTGCGATTTGGAATAGATCAGGTGACATAAGAAAGAACTCTCTGCTGCCCACCCACCCACCCCATAGACCCTGATAAAAGGCACAGGAAATGAAATGCATTGAGTCTTCCTCATTTCAAAGAGAGCCTCAAGACAGCAGAAGAAAAATCACTCTAAGCATCATTTCCCCCCCCCCCAATTCTCTTCTGGCTTAACAAATTGCAGTTCTTTGATTAAAAAGACCAAGGAGAGTGTTGATCTCTGTCCTTTTTCTCCTTCTCTTCCTACTGGGAATCTGAGGCTTTCTTGCACATTTGGCTTCTTGCAAACAGACCGTGGAGGGCCTTGTAGGTCTCTGTGAAATCTTGGAGCTGCGGGATATAAGCATATGTCTTGATTTCCAAGGGCCAATTAAATCCTAAGTGTCATGAGAACAGGAGTAGACATGGATTTTTTTGGTGTGTGTGTGTGTGTGTGTGTGTGTGTGTGTGTGTGTGTGTGTTGCAACAGCCTTTCTGTCCAGCCTAAGAACTACAGGGGATGTTACTCATGTCTGGGACATCATTGGAATAAACATTTTTTTTTTTTTTTTTTTTGTGGGGAAAGAGGGGATTTTGGCACAGAGGGTTATGCAAGGAAAAGGGTGCCTGCTGAGAATTTATCCTTTCACTCTTACTTCCCTCCTCCAGGAGAATTCAGCCCATAATTCAGTGGAAAGAGCCCAAAGGCTAGATTTAATTTCAGAAATAGCAGCCCCAACTTTTTTTTTTTTTTTTACTGCATTGCCTATGTGGATATGGTACCCACATGTGGATCTGGAACTTATTTTTCCAAAGCACCAGAAGGCAAGACAAAAAACAACGGATGGAAACTAATCAGGGAGAGAAGCAACCTAGAATTAAGGAAGGATTTTATGACAGGGAGGACAATTAACCAGTGGAACAGCTTGCCTTCAGAAGCTGTGGGTGCTCCATCACTGGAAGTTCTCAAGAAGAGACTGGACAGCCGTTTATCCAGTAGGGTATAGGGTCTCTGCTTGAACAGCATCTGGACTAGAGGATCTTTAAGGTCCTTTCCATTTTGGTTATTTTCTAATACTGTATGAGAAATGAGAAATGCCCAGTTAGCCCCAGATGCTGCATTTTATCACACAAGAAGGTGGTTGTTGATCTATGCTACGATGATGATGATGATGATATGATGGTGGTGGTGGTGATGGTGATAATGTTGATGATGTATCTCTTTATTTTTAGGTCCTGTGGCTGTAATCAGTGGAGAAGAGGATTCTGCCAGCCCTCTTCATCACATCAACCATGGCATCACCACACCTTCATCTTTGGACACTGGCCCAGACACAGTGGTGATCGGTATGACCCGGATTCCTGTCATCGAAAACCCACAATATTTCCGACAAGGCCACAACTGCCATAAACCAGACACATGTAAGTAATTTTACTTTCTTTTTATATGACAAGATGGAGATAGGAAAATAAAGACAACCAAAAAGAGAAAGAGATCTTACTGGAGAGAAAAGATAATAGCCTTTGTATGGTCCAGAAACCAGAAGACTATTTTTTTTGTCCTAGAATTATAACATTCATTTGTTTTACAAGGTGACATGATTGATTCACCATCCAATAATCAGTTCTTGTAGATGCATCATAATCCTTGTAGAAGCTCATCCCCCCAAAAAAGAACATTACAAGGAAGGCTTCCATGATAACCTTTGATACAATCCTGAGGGTAGGTAATACAAGTAGAATGCAAGGCAAATTTAGTACATGAAGCAGTGAGAGACCTCCAAGTTTACTGAATGAAATAAATACATCATGCTAGGAAGCAAGAAATTGTTCTGTCTTCAACATCCCCATGTTTATAGTACCAGATAGGTCCTATTAAACACAATAAACCATCCAGTTGTCATGACAAATCAGTTTCCTCTGCAATATCTTGACAAAATATGAGAAAATGAACCACTAGGCCTACTGAAATCAGAGTTGATCGTTCGGCTACCAATATATAATTTGAAATTCTTTGGGGAAATTTGGATTTTGAAATATAGGCTGCAGTAGGCAAAGATTCTGTTTTTTTTAAAAAAGAGACCTGAATGAGCAAGGATTCAGTGTCCTTATTTCTAAAAAATAAGGACACTGAATCTGTTCTGAGGTACCATATTGATTTTGCTGCATTTTATTTCTCTTTCAATGGAACTAAATGGCACAATCTGGTTTATAAAGCCTTTTCTTTATGAAGCCAGTTGGCTCTTGTTACTGATTTTTTTTAGCTCCAGTTCTTGCTCCTGCCCTGATTCTCATAGGGTAAATTGCTTTTATCGACAGTGAATCTCTTTATTTAAACTAAAAAACATCATGAGTGTTAGTTAATTCATCCTTACAAGTTAATCAGGACTCCTCATTCCCACAACGATTTAAAACATCACAGCCCATGTAATCACCTTGCAGGTTTCCCAGAAGGGCTCAAAACCAAACCGTGGTAAACCAACCAAACCACATGAAAACGTCCATCACCTCTTTCCCAACCATCTCATGTGCTTCATATCCATGTGCTTCCCATTGTCTGTGTTGCCTGTTACTAATCATGACTGTGGCTAAAGTAATGGTAATGGGGCCTTTCTGATAGACATGGGAAATTTTTATGGGTGTCTCCACGATTGCTGAATTCAGAGTTCTGTGCTTGCCTCTCTGTGAGATGTGGAAGACTATGTCTTGGAAAGCCATTTTTATTTTTAGAAATTCTTCTGGCCTCTGCCAGTGTTTCTTAAGCAAGTCTGAACATTGTGCACCTCTATTCAGAAGTAAATCAAATGAAATGTAATGGGATTTACTGCCAGGTAAGTTCATGGAGGATTTCCTATTGGGTTGATTTAATTGGCAGGCAAAATTATAACCAGCACTATGATCCATTAGACCTTTCAAATGTAAATTAGCAAATGGGGGATCCATTGCCTTAGATGTTTATGTGTTCAATTTCCCTCCTTTTCCCAAGATGATGATGTTTTGAATCCCCCTGTTTTTCTGAATTAACCTCTTGAATCTTCCACCAATTGACCATCTCATTGTTGAAGGGAAAGATTTCATAAAGTTTATGCGGCTAAGGAAATGTGGCTGTATGGTGTCGTCCCTGGAAACCAGTGTGAGAAATTTAAACAAGAGAGAAAGTTTTGAATGAAAAGATGTTGAAAAGTTTTGAACAGGGACTTAAGTTGGCACTGTTTAAACCAGTATGAATAATACACTGTCATTCGGGGACAGCTCTAGTTATAAAAGAGGGGTCATTTTGGGGATTTAAGTTTTGAGGTTACTTGGAGTTGAGAACAGAAGAAAGAGAAGAAGAATGGAGCAAATGCATCAAACTGGGGCAACAATGGGCTATCTTTAACTTCTGTTATGGTGTATTTGTGCTCTGTGCATCTGCACACCATGAAGATGGCAGGGAGGCAGGTTTTAATTGGACATTGATCACACCTGGGGAGAAACTATAGCTTTCCTCTCCTTTTTTGGGGAACTGGGACTTTCTCTCCCTTTTATTTTTTGTATTTTGAGAATATTCTTTATGGAGGGTTTTAATGCACCACCATGGCATTTTGGCAAGTTGCAATCTATGGCATTTATAAAGACCGGCCAGGTGCCTTTGTTTCCAGCAGTGATATTGATTAATCCAGTGCAAGGGTGTCAAACTCGCAACGTCACACGATGCGTCGCGACGTATCACAACTGTTTTTTCCATTGCTGGTAATGGGGTGGATGCGGTTTTGCCATGATGCATCTGGCCCACGGGCTGGCAGTTTGACACCCCTGATCTAGTGGATTATTGTCATAGTATAAACCACTCTATACACCCAACTAAAAGAATCCTTATAACTATGATTAGATTCGATTATTAGCAATCCGGTAAATTCTGGCAGGTGTGTTTAACTAAACGATTTCATCAGGTTAACTCTGAAGTCAAAGGGAAATAAGCAAATAGAATTGTGAATTTCTTCAAAAACCCAACGATTTAACTGCAGGCGTCTGAGTCAGAAGGGACACTGCTTATACCAGCTTGAGGTCCATGATATATATTAAAATTTGCATGTACTGTATGTAACAATGTAAATAATTCTGCCAGAAGCATATGAAAGGCTAGTAGACCTGGTCTTCAAAACCTTTTTCAGCTAATCAGATAGTTGTATACACCTAAGCTGGAAAAACAATGGCAGCTTTCCTCTTGAATTCTTAACAAGGCCATTTTATGACTGGGAAACTTAGAATTTCTTTCAATGAGTCTTCTTTCATTACATCTTCTGGCTGTGCAGCACTTTGGAAATATAGCAGTGGTTCTCAACCTGTGGTCCACCGACCCCGGGGGGGGTGCAATGTCATCACAGGGGGTCCACGAAGGCATGAAGAAATGTTATGATTTACATCTTAAGTCTTGGTCTACATCTTAAGGTATTTAAAGGGGGTCTGTGGTGAAGAAAAAGTTGGGAACCACTGCTCTAGAGTAGTACAGGCTCCCTTGAAGCAATTATATCAATATGCAGTCCCAGGTGAATATGTGTTTAAGGAGGCCCTAACTGAATGCAAAAGTGGATACAGTTTCATGCTTGCCAACACTTTACTTCAAATGGGCATTTTCCAAAGCACTGTGTGGCAACTGTAAGAGCTAAGGAAAACGCCCATTTCTTTTACTAAGGCCCCAAACATATGCAGAACATGCCCCCTCCAAAACAGATAAAGAGCACGGTATATCTCTAATTAGCAGGATTTTTTTCTATGGATTTTTTTTTTGTCTATTGAAATCAATAGTTCAATAAGATGCTCGTATGGGGAAACCTCAGCTACTTAAATAGCATTTGGATATTTTTTTTTAACTAATTAGTTGCATTCCCTTGATTGGGAAGTATTGATTCATTTGTTAATTTCAAATAGTGAACCATATTTTAATTATGCCCTGTACTGTATGTCCTGTTCAGGGCAATTGTTCCCCTTCCATCAATTGCTTCTGGGTGAGAAAAATTACCTGTTCCTGCTGCTTCCCCACCTCCTCAGCTTCCTATGACAAGTTAAATGATCAAGGACAGTCCTTGATTACATTGAGAATCATCATAAAGGATGCATTAATGCATAGCAAATGAAACAGGCCACTGCATCATAATACAGGTTGGCTCTTGAAGCCTTGGATTCCTTCCAAGGAGACATCTGAAATGATGAAATTGGAAAAGGTACATGCATACATTTGATCTGATGTTGTGATTGCCAAACAGCTTTATTACCAAGGTCACTAACCTGAAATAAATTCACTTTAAAAAGAAAAAAAAATGTAGTAGAGCTGTAACAGTGTCTTTTACATGACAAAAATGAGAGGCTTTGGCTACACAACTCAGCGCTAACCAGAATTAACTATGATGACTTGGAAAGAAATCTCATTGAGTTCAAGGACACTTAGCGCTGAGTTACATACACTTCAGATTGCTGTCAAGCTGGGTGACTGATTGTTGCTTAGGCAGCCTTGCAGGCTAGCTTGCTGTGTTTCCAGGTTAGCTAACTATGCTTGTTATTCAAGCAAAATATCTAGAAGAGAATGATGGGGACTTTTGTTCTCCATCTCTAAGAATGTAATTTCCCTGGTGCTTAACCTAGTTGGGTGAGTTTTGCTTGCACACCTGGATCAGGTATATAGAGTGTAGCACATAGTATGAATAGGATTTTAACAAACATATGAAGTCCATCACATCCCAAATTTACATAGCTATATCTCCATGGCTAATAGCGAGCCTAATGCTGGGAAAGATTGAGGGCAATAGAAGAAGGGGACGACAGAGAATGAGGTGACTGGATGGAGTAACTGAAGCAGTAGGCCTGAGATTAAATGGACTCTAGAAGATGGTAGAGGACAGGAAGGCCTGGAGGAACGTTGTCCATGGGGTCGCGATGGGTCGGACACGAGTTCACAATTAACAACAATGTTTTGATGGTAGTCCTTCCAGGTTTTCTACCTCATGATATATATTAGGGAGAAGATGTAAGGAACAAATCTAGAATATTCTGCATGAAAGGTGCTAACCTTAGTTTCTAAATTAAATATTCTCTCCCCCAGGGTTCTTTCGGAGTTGAGGTGGTAGAAATCTAAGCTCAGTTCCATAAGATATTTCAATTCCAGGCCCTTTTACTATAGCATGTCACAATGGCAGCTTTATAGTATTTAGAGGGTAAATCTTTGCATGTCTATTCAAACATACATTCAACTATTTTAAAAGAGAATTATCACCCCACCAAGAATTACAATTTAATTATTAACCATTTAGGTCAATTTATATATATATATTATTTATTGAATTGGCTACCCAGATTTCTTTTTATATAGAGATACTTCATTCATAGATATTTAATTATTTGTGTACCTGCATGTATTTTGGGACTGCAGATCAAGAGCATTGTTA